CACACACACACCTTTGCCCCCTCCTTTGGGCTCCTGGCTCTGTCTACAGCCTTTACAGCGGGCAAAATTCAAAATTAATTCCTACCCAACTGAAAATGTTTCATGTGTCCTGCACGCTTACATGACCTTATGCAGTTGCCAGCCAGCGCCGTAAAACACTTACCAAAACAAACAAAATGTCTACAGTATCCGACTTTTGGAAGTTTGTTTATTTGAGGAAAGATTAGTACATCGACACAATCATGGTCATTTGGTTTAGTTTCGTAAAGACTTTTACGGTACTTACAACACGAATAGTTCATATAAGTGTCAGAGCTGTTACAACGGAGAACAAAGAGAAAAAGGAGGAAAGATAAGTTTAGTTAGTTTAGTTTAGTAAAGAGTTTTACGGCACTTGCAACACGAATAGTTCATATAAGTGTCAGAGCTGTTACAACGGAGAACAAAGAGAAAAAGGAGGAAAGATAAGTTTAGTTAGTTTAGTTTAGTAAAGAGTTTTACGGCACTTGCAACACGAATAGTTCATATAAGTGTCAGAGCTGTTACAACGGAGAACAAAGAGAAAAAGGAGGAAAGATAAGGACGATAGATGTTTAAGAGGAAAGAAGGAGCAAACCACACCAGAGCACCCGCCAACCACCCACGGAAAGATAAGGACGATAAACTTTTTGACAGGAAATACGGAACAAGCCACACCAAAGCACCCGCGAACCACCAACAATTGGAATTCAGTGCTTCAAGATAAGTGCCGAAGATTAGAAGAGTTACGAGAGAGTAAAAAAACAACAACCCCAAAAAAAAAACCAGAAAGGGAGGAGAGATAAGGACGACAGATGTTTTGATAAGAAAGAAGGAGCAAATCACACAAACCAGAAACACCCGCCCACCAACCACCCCCCTGAACAACCCAAGTTCAAGAACACATCATTGCAGATTTGAAAAATCTCGGGAGGTCCCGTGTGCAAGTTACGCTCGTTAAAGATCCCTTGGTGGTCCAAAATCGATCATGAGTAAGCTTCGGCCGCCACCCGGGCAAAATTTTTTTTAAAATCCTACCAATTGAAATATAAAATGTGTCCCACGTGCTCAAATGACCTTATGCATCTGTGAGCGCCGTAAAACACTTACCAACAAACAAAAAGAAGATTCGAGCCCGCCAACCACCCACCTTAAGAGAGTTTTTGTTTTGTTTTTAACGGGGGTAGGATAAGAGAGTTAGTAAACGTTAAAGAGGCTGTATAATAGTCATTGTCTCTGATAATAGTAACGCACAAGACAGTAAGCTTACTAAGCTCGCGGACTACCGCCACAGTAAAGTAAGTTTCAGTGTGACCATCAACTGCAAGCTCTCCGATTACACCTAACACACGGGGTACGGTACACAAGTACCCGTGACATTGAACTTGTGGGCGCTGGCGTTATCAGTTAACGCCGAACCTAGGACGTCGGGCTATGTTGAGTTGTCGACATACTTAGGTGCTGTTTGGAGAGAGAGAGAGAGAGAGAGAGAGAGAGAGAGAGAGAGAGAGAGAGAGAGAGAGAGAGA